AAATGGGAAAAAATGTCTGGTAAATATAAATTAAAAAAAAAACAGTAATAACAATAATAATAATAATGTTGTAACTTCTAATTATATATGTGTGTGTGTGTAAAATGTAATATATATATGTCTGGCAATACTCATTATTATTAATATGGTTGATGTTTCTTAAGAATATCTATTAAAAAATTTTGAGGATGCCTTTTACCTGGACTATGTCTGAGCTGAAACCCCCACTGAGCCAGATCCAATGAAAGGTGGGGATTAGGCCATATCCTGCCACAGCACAGAATATAACAGAGCGAAGCTTCTGCCACTTCTTGGTCAAGTAATGAGGGTGGATCTGGGCAAAGAACACTGCCAACATCATGGCCAGAACGGTTACCAGGTACACCTGCCGCCAGTACTGCAGACAGTTACACAAACCAGACGAAACTACATGAACCACAAACACATGGAAGTCCTCTTAATGTGCACAACATAGACACAAAAAATCACTTGTTCTGGAGGAGGAAAAAAAACTGGTGCAAGAAAAAGCAATGGAGAAAGCGGTCCCTCTTTCTCTTGGGGCACTTGGCTGATTGAGTAGTCATCCAAAAAGCAAAGCTAAACACTTGGCAGGGGGAGAGTGGAGATGGCTCACCCACGTGTGAATGTCATATGGTGGGGAACAGGAGTGACGGAGTGGGTCCATGAACACCGCCATCTGCTTTGGGCTGGAGCAGATTTCTGCCGCATTCTGGGGCACAATAAGCCAGCACTTCCAATATGTGGGGCGAACCATGTGGAGCAGCGTGGCCAAAAGCGCTGGTGCTCGGCAAACAGCAAGTGGGAGTAGAGGGGACGAGAGCAAGCAGCTTGCTCAGGATATCCAAGATCCAAGCTTTCAGAAAAATGCACCAGATTCTTGAACAAAGAAGATTCCACGCCAAGCGGCACCTCGTCGTTTTTATACCGGCAGTACAAAGCCGCTCCACAGGGGATCCATTGTGCAAACTAACAGCAAAGGAGGAATAAACTATCGTACAACATAATCAAATATACTCTAGCACAGTGTTACAGTAATCTCACGGGAAATGTCAAGATGCGACAGCTCTCAGTGTGTGCACTTCTAACTTTCCTATTAAATGTTCATACTATTCCTCGCTTTTAAAGGGATAGTTCACCCAAAAATGAAAAATCTTTCATCATTTACTCACCCACGTCGTTTCAAACTTTCATCTGTGGAACACAAAAGTGTTTCATCTGTGAAACACGAAAAATGTTTTTGTCCATACAGTGAAAATCAATGTGGTCCAAAATTGGTTTTTAAAATATCCTTTTTTTTCAAGAAAAATTTTCAGAAAAGAGAAATTCATACATGTTAAGAATGACACGAGGGTGAGTAAATGATGTCATAAGTGTCCTTTTCGGCTGATGAAAAAATGATAATGTGTACTACAAGCGAAATAGAAAATATAGTGAAATGGTGATTTACTAAACACATAAAAACAGCCTCTCCGTGTAGTATTCACAGCGCGCGCACACACACACACACACACACACACACACACACACACACACACACCCGACAACAGTAATCTCACGGGAAATGTCAAGATGCGACAGCTCTCAGTGTGTGCACTTCTAACTTTCCTATTAAATGTTCATACTATTCCTCGCTTTTAAAGGGATAGTTCACCCAAAAATGAAAAATCTTTCATCATTTACTCACCCACGTCGTTTCAAACTTTCATCTGTGGAACACAAAAGTGTTTCATCTGTGAAACACGAAAAATGTTTTTGTCCATACAGTGAAAATCAATGTGGTCCAAAATTGGTTTTTAAAATATCCTTTTTTTTCAAGAAAAATTTTCAGAAAAGAGAAATTCATACATGTTAAGAATGACACGAGGGTGAGTAAATGATGTCATAAGTGTCCTTTTCGGCTGATGAAAAAATGATAATGTGTACTACAAGCGAAATAGAAAATATAGTGAAATGGTGATTTACTAAACACATAAAAACAGCCTCTCCGTGTAGTATTCACAGCGCGCGCACACACACACACACACACACACACACACACACACCAGACTGTTTTCCCCAGGAATAGGTGAACTCTTGCTCTGTATCTGTTGCACAGGTAACATATGCCCACAACAAAAGCAGGCCAACCATCTGCTGCTAGAGACCACTGTGGGACGATACACCTCAAGCCACCTAATTAATCTACCCCTGTCCACATTGGCCATAGTGCCATTGGCCTATCGCACACAGTGGATCAAACTCTACCCATAAACATTTATTACTTCGCTGATGAAGTTATGGGACGTTTACCTCCAGTACTGCCCACATCTCCACCTCCCCTATGCCAGAATGGTTTAGTTCCAATATACTTTGGTAGTTTAGTACATCTCCTAAATGGAAATTTGTCTTGACTTGTGGTGCTAACATACACCCTGACCATTCCCATTCCACAACAAATACACAGTGACTTTTCCCATCAGTACACAGGCATTAGCAATCAACTCAAACATCACACAAAAGCATGAAAGCTTATATTCACCACTGAATAAACACATTAAAAAGGTAATTGAGACTTTTTAATCTAACAATTCTGACTTCTTTTCTTGCAATTCTGAGATTGTGATATAAAAAGTCACAATTACCTTCTTTTTTTATTTCGTGGTGGAAAAAAAAAAAAACATGAAATGCAAGTTGTAAGCTCAGAAATCCGAGAAAAAAAAGTCTAAACTGTGAGACGTAAACTCACAATTATGAATTTATAACTTGCAATTGACCTTCGCAAAGACCCACCCCCCTTAGTTACTGTTGCTACGACCGACAAGCCATGGCGCTCTCACGCAACACATCATGTTCTCACGCAGTGAAAATTAGATTGCGGAGCAAAGAGGAAACGCGCCGACAGACAAGACAGAGCAGGTTACTTTTGGTATGAAAGTGTCAGCTTTCAAATTTTGTTATTTTTAAAAATAAATTCAAACAATAAATACCATTTTGTGGCTCTTTAATGTGTTGTGACAGATCGCTGTAGCGTCTCAGTTCAAGCGGCGTGCTTTCCGATCATCTCTTCCTCTTTACAGGTTATAGCATGAAATAAACATGAATAAACATCAGAAGGTATCTTGTTTCAACCACGGAAAGACGTCAATGCACACCATTTTTCAAGTTCAAGTCTACCGACGTTAATCTACTCTCCTGTCTGGTTTGTTTGTCGGACAAAATGGCAGATTCGGTGTTATGATTGGTCAGATCGCTTGTCAATCAAACTCCCAGTGAAGGATTAATTGTCAAATATAAAATGCAATCCTGAGAAGGAAAGTTTCAATTGTAAAAAAAAACAAAACTCAAGTTGTGAGAAAAAATTTTGAATTGCGAGATTAAAAGCCACAAAAAACCTTTATTTCATGGTGGAAATAAGCTTCCATCATTTTTTTTTCAATTCCATTTTTTTTTTTGACTGTAGCAGCACCCTCTCTAAGAAAGCAGATGCACATACGTTATTACAGTAGAATGCGTAGAACACTCCTGGAACATAGCCTATGATTCCGATGGAGATCCCGGCATAATCCAGTGCCATCCAGCGGTGGCTGTTTTTTTCGGAACGGTGGCAGCAGAACAGATGATAGCCAACAGAACACAGCATGCACACCTGAAAAGACAACGCAAAGTGTTGAGATACAGATAGGTGTGTGTAGGCCATATATGCGGATTCACATATGCAAAGTTTTCACAATACAATAAAAAAAGCTAAACCTTATATGATGAACTTATGAAGCCAAACAAAGATGCTATAATTATGTCTGTATGAGAGAATATGAAAGGTGGTAGAGGCACTTTGCCTAATCCTGATGCTTGAGAGAATGGCTGCCAAGGAGAGAAGCTCCCATTTCTGTCTATAACCGATGGCACGAGAGCAACCGATAACAGATCTAGAATTAGACAGGACTGGGTTTAGGTGATAAAATCATAAATTTCAACTCTAATCCCTGGCAACTGTGAATGTGGAAAGCCTGATAAGGCCTTCAACAGTCCAAGGATTATATGAATACTTTTTGCTGATCTAAGATCAGTTTTTTATTAAAAAAGATGGAGCTGATCCAAGCAAGCAACCATGGTTAGAGATTATTTGTTTGTCATGCCAAAAAAACAAAAATAAACACTTTATATCCACTACCTACTGTGTTAACTATTTACAGCGTCTATTAAACACACTTCTGAACTGCTCAAGTTTTTCCTCGTTTCCAATTTTCTACCTAAACGCAAAGCCAAATAATGTGAGGGCATGATGCAAGTAGCACGGACATACCTGAAAGCAGAAGAGGCCTATGGAGTAGATGACATAGTCCTCTCTGGATGCTCCTAACATAGGCAGCACCGCCAACAAGTCATAAACTCCCAGTGTGAAGAACAGGAAGAACCCCAACAGATGACTCCAGATGTTTACCGTCTCATTGGACAGAATGAAAAGGCTACAAAACACGTGAGATTATACCAGCTAATATCTTGTTATTCCCTCAGTTGGCTGAGCTATATTACTATACCTACAGTAATTAATATCATCCTAAAATATTTGTTCATTCTGATGTTTGCTATTGAAAAAAAATACACTCTGCATTGAACCTGCACTTACCTTTTAATGCACAGTCTAGAGGTCAAATAGGCTCTGTAGCCATCAGTGATATAAGGATTTTCCCGTAGGAATCCCGGCACCTGCTCGTAAGTGTACAGGCGGATTCCTCTGGGCACCAGAACTGGCCAATACTTGTAACTGCCCAATTCAATGTACTGGGCACTCTTCAGCACCTTCGCTGATGGCATGATGATAATGTCACCCAGTCTCACACTCAGAGTCCTACAGACACACAAAGTTTAATGGATAAATGGTTTTTATAAATATCTGACAAAAAGTGACATGGATGTGAAATTTTATAAAAGAGTGCAGTTTTAACTGACCTCCTCCATAAAACTTTTATTGTGAAGTATAGCTGAGGTGTGTGTGTGTGTTTAATATGTCATTATATCAGTGTTGTTATTGTTAACTAAAAGTATTAAAAATAGAAATATTAGATGAAAAACTGATATAAAATTGGTTTCAAAAACCAAAACAAATATATAAAAATAATGAAAATGACAAGTATATGACAAAATTACTGAACTAAAATTAAAAATTAGAACCTTAGTCAAAACTTTAATAATTACTATAATCATATGTATATACTACAAAAACGATGCTGAATATCATGTGAAAATAATAAAGTAAAAAGTAAATGGAACCTGTTAAGAACGTTCTAGCTATATATTTCTGCTTCATTTAAAAATGGTAATATCAAGCACTACTGGGAAGTAAATGTGGGGTATGTTTTGTCCGGTCTCAAGAATCAGTGAGTACTGCTTGCGTTCATTGCTGAACTGTTAGATTGTTATGGAAAAACTAAGCACTTGGGCTGTACATAATACAAATGCAAATTTCACACCTTATTTAGAACGAAGCCTGTTAATAACATGAAACGAAGCTTTAGGGTGGGCTCAAGTAACAGACATCCCTGTCACTGTCCAACATGTTGTAAAGCTTATGGCAAAATACATACAGATATACACAACATATAAACCTACTGAAATATGAAATTATTTATTTCAATAAATGCAATACCCTAACTAGTCAAATATTTACCTTTATCGCTAAATTCGCTATCACTGTGCTGTATCTAAAATGGATAAGCAGCTAAATGCTAATCACATCTATCTAGTGTGCTTAGTTCCGAAACGGATTAGTGTTTGCTTAATCCTGAATTTAAATTTACCATTGGTCAGATAAATGTCTGCATCGAAGAATCCGCGTTCGTGTCTGTGAGGCTCATAAATGATGTTAGTATCCCATGTTCAGACTCATATTAGCCCGGTGAGGGCAGCAGGAAGCTGTGCTGTGTTGCTAGCTGCTAACAGGCTAATAGAGAGATTATTGTCACATGTAACCCGAGGCATTAATCCCTGTCTTCTATCCGGCGATTACTTTATCAATCTTCTTGTTGGTTTAATAGTTAACATTGCCTTCTTTGCATGACTCTCACTCTCACTAGGCTTGTGGATTAGCTGAACTTGAACAAGGGACTTTCTAAAATGCTTAAAGTAGCTTAATGTACCAAGACGGTGATAAAGACAAAATTGTAAAGCATATACTATGTGCAGATATGCATATAAGATCAAAATGTGAACGCAACGCGTTTATTTACACGTTAAGCATTTTCCTCTCATATAAAGAACGCGCTTAATGCACCGAGACAGTGATATTTAAAGACCACATTCTGTACACACATCTTACTAATAAAGCATAATATGTGTGGAAAAACAGATGAGCCCAAAATATGAACTTTAGAAATCGCTGTCTTAATCCAGAAGCGCTTTCTATACTACAGTTTTCTAAAGAGAGGAAAACGCTTTACATTTAAACATGTCGCGTTGATATTCTGGCTCATCTGCACGTCTTTTAGCATCACCGTCTTAGCACATTAAACTAGCATTTGAAAATGCTACAAAACTTTCCCCAAGCTCCTAGGGATTTGATTTTGCTTGTCATTTGTTGAAATAAATATAAAAAGTAGTGAGTTCGTGACGGTTCGCTGAATGTGACCCAATCTCTGATTCTCCTTCGTGGCCATGGAAAAATTAATATTTATAATGACATCAATTATACTTTGTCATTTAAAAGTTTCCAACAAAGAAATGGATCGACTTCTGTCAGCTTGTTGAACACACACTTTTATTTGGATAATGTACCATATGATGGCTGAAGCAGCAGCGAGCGACACTGTATTCAAGCTAATCGGGTAAACACTGTAAACCAAATTCTACAAAACCTAAGAGAGAAATGCAGTGCATATCATGCAGTGCGATAAAATAGCTTCTCTTCCCTGCAAACGATACAATGAAGAATGAATGGTTGTTTAACTTAAAGGCAAAAACAAAACAAAAGATAAGCATTTATCCTTATAGAGAATGAGAAGTAACCATGGGAACGGATAGCGTATCCTGCTAATATGGCGGCGCCTTCCCGAAATGCAATGCGGAGTGAAAAGATCGTGACGTAACTCCTCATTCTCTATAGCACCCATTTTTCATCGCATTCATTAGGCTACATCGACTGAATTGAGACCTGTGGGTGGCAGACTGCTGTCAACACGTTTTGAAGACTTTTTTCTTTTCATAAACATCTCAGGTGTAATCTTGTGTGATAGCCTACTCCTCTGGGGCTAGAATCACACCTAATCTTCCCTCAGCTATTACACCCAAGATAATTACCTTCTCAAGTGGGAGTGTGTTCTTCATTAGCGCTCCTAATTCACCTTTCATCACTCCACTCTTCAACAGGCTGTCAACAGCATTGCCAAGGCAATTTGCCTGACTGCAGCAAACCCAGCAAGACAGGAGAGTGCCATCACATTTCTGGTTCAGGTGTTTTTTACGTAGGCTAAAATATTTGTACTAAATGATAACGTCCGTGATAAGTAGTTTTTTTTTGTTTATTCCTCAGTCCATCTGATATGTCTTTTTATTTGAACTTGTTTAGGGTAAATGGAGAAGACATTCAGAAATGTTTCAAATTTGATTTGCATAAAGTATCTGTCTTGACATTACTGGCCAGATTTATAACTGACTTTACCTGTCATTGAGAAGACACCGAAACTTCACACAGAGCTGGACCTTCTCCGACCTCTTTACACTCGTTCGTTTTTTCATTTCAATTCGCCCTCTCAACCTATGTTTCTTGTAGCAAGCCAACCGCCACACGCTGTTCTCTACTAGTGATGATATGGCCCCCAACCAAGAGCAGGCATCAAATCCAATAACAAGGACACAGTCATTGTTAGAAGAGGTTGGCCACGTTTCTTGCTGAGAAACTATCCAGCGAGTAAAAAACATTGTCACCCTGACAGCGGCCTCGCTAAGGCCCGTCAGTGCTCCCCTGCTCTGGTCGCTTTTATTTATAATCTCCACCACGAGACATCTGCTGCCGCCGTGCCTCTGTCCTTGCCGTCCACACAGAGGGTGCACATCAACGTTTCCACCGCAACCTGCACCGAAGTCCAGCTCGCAGGCGGGAGACACCACACTTTGCTCCAATAGGATGTGTGTCGTGTCCGCTCCTGCTCCCTGGAGACTGATTAACACGATACAGGGGACGGAGGGAGGCTTCACCAGCACTCAGACTGATACTTACATGATCAGAGTGCCTTTGTTTGTTTGGTGTCTGTAGTCTGGTCACAAGACTATTTTGGGGAGCTGATACTTTGAGAAAGCTCTGTAGCCATCTGACAAGGCCTAGTTTGTCGGCAGTTCCTGAACAGTGGGAAGTCAAGCAGGCCACTGCACCGGCCCTTGACGCAAAATGGCACAGGCAGTTTTGTGTTTTTTATGCAAAAAGAAGACCACGTGCAGCTTCAAATGCCACCGCTTTTCCTCAAAAGAATAAGTAGACTAAATAATATATATTTTTACCTCGGAACATCCTCAGATTACAAATATTAACTTTGTATGTTTGTGCGTTTGGTGAGAGAGGGTTATTGTCATAATTTCATGAAATAAAATAAAAAATAGGCCCTTATGTCAGAAAAATGTACTTTAATTGGCATAACTCAGTATACTTAGTCATATTAAATATTTTTTACTTTATTAAAACCAGTTGCTACCACCTGAAATACATTTCTTATGTACTATTGTGTTCACCATTTTTTTCTGCTTCAAAGAAGTTCAAATGAGGCAATGATTGGAGATTTCAGCTTAGTGAAAGTTCCATCTGCATAACAATATTGGGAGGAATTGAGCTTTAATATAAAGGCATCCTCTTTTTTCACTTACAATTATCTCTTCAATACATCTGGCCCCAAGACTATAATTCCCCAGAGGCCAAAAGAAACGGAAAACAATTTCCACAATAAGCAAGAGATTAGGTCAGACAATACAATTGTTCTTCTGCATTTAGCATTTGCTGGAACAAGATTAATATCTTGTGATATTAATGACTGTTTGCTGTGTGTCACTTTTGCTGTCAGCATGACATACTCTAAATCCTCATTTATGGGGAAAATCATAAGCCTGGCTAAGGGACTCAAGCAGACATGCTAAGCTTTTTGGCACTGGGTGCTTATTATTTTCTAACCCCTCTGCAGTGGCAAATAAGCACTTTGTTATAAAACTGATTATTATTACATATTGCCCTTACAATGCCCTATTGATTTTTAATTTTTTTTTAAAAATTTTATTATTATGTCAAATTAATAGAATATTCAGGATTCAAAGAGCTGTTGAGGGGGAATTTGTTCACTATAAAGTTCTGTTGTGTGTGTGTTTTACATTATTACAGTATTAGAAATGTATTTTGATAGGCACGGACCATGGTATTTTTTATACTAAAAATGCGTGACAAATGCTAAATATCTTTTTATAATGTAGGCTATAATGTTATTTAATAAATGGTATTGTACTGAAAATACTAGAATTCAAAGAGAATACTAAGTGAAATCATTGTTCCTCCTGTAGATGTCACCCTGCATCTATTTTCTATCACAAAATACTTTTTAACAGTATTCGTCCAGTAAATTGTTTGAGTTCTATACATTTTGTATTTCTAAAATAAATTCAGGGAGAACATAAACTGTTTGCTAAGCATTTAACCCGAGATAGTAGGCCGATTCATAACAAAAAAATAATAATACAGCAAAAATAGATTTTTGACATAGAAAATTTAATAACTTTGATTAATTTCATACAATTTTCACTTTAATTTGACACTATTCCACAATTCAGCGAAAAAATAAAGGTAAAACAGCAAGTAAAAAAAAAAACAAGTGTCCCGATAGAAATGATCAATCTCTTGTGCTGTCCTGAAGTGTAGTGATGATTTTGGCAGTAGGTCTAAAAAGATCCACTAGATGGTACTGTGGTCACTCATTTCTACAGTCTAGGCTGTTTAAAATGGCCTAAAATACTTCCTTTACTTTTTAATAGAATATTTCATACAGTCAAAATCCTGTGGAAACATTATCAAACAGCATGGGGAATCTGAAACGAAATGTATTAATTAGTTTGTAAATGAGCTAAAACAAACGTGAATAAAAACCAGCTCAGACGAGCTCAGTGCAATGAATGAGTCAATTCTGAAAGAAAAACAACAACAACAAAAATTTGCTGGCATTTCATACTTATGAATAGAAATACATTTCTTATTTGAGAGGTTTGACCCTCGTCACGGTAATGTATTTTGTCATTCTGGCCTCCAACACCACGACTGAATTATTGTTTTTATTTTCGGGGTCAGTTCATTAGACGGCAAACCCACAGTAATGGATTTCTCACATCACGGAGTATAAATGAAGATTCTTTTTCAATTGTGGACGATATGACTCCATCTAGTACAGATGCCAATGAAAATTACAGCCTTCTCTTGAGCGAACACATTGCGCTGATGTTTTTGATGCATCCTTGCACGTGGTGATTGAGGTAGATTGTCTAGGACCTGCTGCTTTTCCCTGATATGAAGGCAGGGGAGAGCATGAAACAGTAGGCTGGAGAGGAGGGAGGGCCGTCTGCCCTCTACGGGCCTGAATCTCCTCCCGCCACAGGACTACCCCACGCCCAGGCTTGTTTGTAGGATTGGCACTAATTCAGCAGCGCCAGCGTCTGACCTCAGCGGCAGCGGCGCTCCGAGCTCCGAGAAGACCCAAGGCGATGCGAGGGATTCACCTCAACCGGGGAGGGGAGGGGAGGGATGGCTGGGTAGGTGGGGGTGTCTCAAGGTCAGTTAGGGGGGGCTGGGAATTGGGGTGGAAGAAGAGACTAATGAGATTTTCATTCTCTCTTTCTCTCCGGCGCTGGTGGCATCACCTTGCAACCCCCTGTCAATCTACCACCTTTCATCAACTGAGAAGGACAGAGGGGTGTAGGCAGAAAAAAACGGAGAAAAAATACTGTTTGTTTTTTAAACAGGACTGTTAATCTATTTGGACTGGGGTAATAGAGCATTTGCCTGGCACCTGTAGAGAGCCGTCTGCGGAAACATGGGGTTGTGACATTCCCCTAAATATGCTGAGCCTTCTCTCACCTCTCATCAAACAGTGTGATCTTTATGGACTGTATCATATTGTGCTGTAATGTGCTTTATTGTCCACAGAATAAGCTTTTCTTAAAGGTAATTGGAAATCTGGAAATGGCTGCTATCGGCTGATTTTTAAATGCATTATTTCTGAAATGTGGCCTGGGTAATGACCCTGTTGGTGTAAAACGTAAGATTTATCTTGACAGCCAAAATCGATCCATTTCACCTTTGTCTAATGGAAATTTTTTATCAGGGATTATCTGTTTATGTAAATGAGCGTTGCCCTGGAACAGGGAAATAAAAGGAGCTTGAGAGGGCAGTTAATCTAACACTTGACACGTCAATGTGGACATAACGCATACAGAGCCCTCTCGCTCTCTCTCTCTCTTTCTCTGTTAGGGTTGAAATGATGGGAGGGAGTCTGTCCCAGACCTCACCAGACATTTGAATTGGGACCTTAATTTCTATATTAAGAAAAAACACAATGGCTACTCACAAGCATTAAGATAAATTCTTGGAACATTAGATCAGTAATAAAAATAAAATGCAAGTGAAATCTAATTATGATTTTATCATAATATTAGACCTCAAATTTGTATATTACATTAAATTTATATGTAAATATATCTACATTTAGATCAATAAATCAAACTGTTGCAATAAATGTTATATATAGAACATGCATATGCTTTAATATACAGTACATAGGCTACATATAAGATTGCTTAGTGCTTAATTAACAGATTAATAAATCAGTTACATATGAAGTCATATAAGTCACCATGAAATCAAAAACTGACAATTCTTTTTTTTAAATGGAATATTGCAGTTTATTATAAATGATTTATCCGTGCACATGATTAAAAAAAAGAAAAAAGTGCCCTTGTAGTCAAAAACATTAAATTCCCCTTCTCCTTGCTACGACATCTCCTCTCCGATGACACCTGCATCAGTGCGAGTGCAGGACAATAATCACTTCCCTTGAGAAAAATTGTAATTTCATGCCGACTTTAAACCATCGGATTACCAAATATGTCTTCGTTCTGCAGTTTTACTTATGTGGG